AGAGAGAGAGAGAGAGAGAGAGAGCGCACGTTTTGCTGGTGTGCACCTGGTCTAATTATTTCCCTCCATCCAACTTTGAACTTGGCTCAGTCTATTTCAGTTATGAACATATCAAACCGGATGCCCCGTGACCAAAAAAACAACAACACAACCTATTACCAAGCAGCGCTTTTTATCTTAAAAGCCAAGACTGAAGAGCTATAGGATTAAAACGACTGCAGCAGCTGCAAGGAACATAATGTCAGGAGAATTGAATTAAGCCATTGCCAATATATCGCCTATATACGAACCACAAATGAACGTTCAACTGGGCCTACCAAAACTGTAATTCTAATACAGTGGGAGCGGCATTTAACGAGGTCACATTCAACGAGAAGTCCGCTCCAACGAGTCAATCCTTAATCCCCGAATGTTTCCTCTATATCTCTTTGTAAATGTACGTCGGTTCGAACGAGGAAGTCCGAACGACCGGAGTCGCTTTCGCTTTCAACGAGGTCGCGATTTTTCTTTCTCTCACCACACGCGAAGCACAAGGTCCATCACCGATTCCTAACACATAGTATTGCTAGACCTAATATGGGCCCCAAAGCCAAGAGGATGGGCGATGGTTAGCCTACGGTAAGGATGGGAGGGGGTGGGTGGTAACGCGATGCGGGCTGTGTGAAACTGGATGAACTCTGGATGGGTAGGTCTAGATCGAGACCTTCATTTTTTTCAATTTTATTTTCTTCCCCAGATCAGACAATCCAAGCTCCCGCCCTTACTTAAAGTAGATCTAAGCCTAAGCCTAGATATGAGCGGGAAGGTTTCCACTCGAGAAGTGTTCAGGAAAAAAAATATTTTAAAATGCAGATGACGGTCAGAGCACAGCTCAAACACGCGCACACTGATGCTGTGTGAGATTTTCGTCACCTGGGGGAACAAGTTTTAATTACTGGTATTAGTACATCCTATTATAATAATAACGTGTCTCCTTTCTTTACTTTAGCCTTATAAGTCACGTTCAACGAGAGGTCGGATCCAACGAGGACAACAAGCCGGTCCCAGCAACCTCGTTGAATACGACACCCACTGTAGTAAATGATTCTTGCCCTCATCATCACAATTTAGATGCTTAATTTAGAGCCGAAACCTGCCCGTCAGGGCCAACTCGGGCGGAGAGTGATACATCATTCTGGCAAACAGACTGAGATTCTCGGGAGGAAAAAAAACAACCTTAAGCGTGAATCGACCTCGTGTCTTCTAGATGAATATTACAAAATATTTTAAAGATAGACAATTTTAATCCACAAACTGTTGCTGGTCGCAACTGTGCAGCACCATTTTTGAGAGAGGGATATCGTATGATCTTGCAAAAGGACACACCACATTGACCACCCATCTACAGGTTGTGTCACCGACACACACTTGACATCATTATGCTCGTAAGCTCACTATAACCACTCAACCACTGCAGTTCTCAAAGTGTTAAAAGCTTGGAGACATTGTTGGAACAGTCATTTATAGATCACTGACAATTTCGACTCGCAGGTGCTATTACTATACATACTAATCACTAATCATTACAACTGGTCTTGGCGGCGACAGCAGAGCAGCAGCAGCAGCAGCAGCAGCAGCAACCACTACACAGATGAGCTGGGATAGCTACCGGGGTAGGACACACGCACTTTGCTGTGAAGGGACAGCAGCAGCAGCAGCAGCAGTAGCAGTAGTAGTAGTAGTAGTAGTAGTAGTAGTAGTAGTAGTAGTAGTAGTAGTAGTAGTAGTAGTTGTAGCAGTATTAGTAGTTAGTAGTAGTAATAGTAGTAACAGTAGTAGCAGCAGTAGCAGCAGCAGTCGCGGTAATCGTGGCTGCGGTTGTGGTAGTAATAGTAGAAGCAGCAGCAGTTGCAATGGTGCTTCACATTAAACATTAAAACGGCTTTTGGACGCTGCAACTTGTGT